GGTATTAATATAGTGTTCTTTACAAAAGTAATTCCTTTATATAGGGATTTAGCTTATATAACAGTATTAGTCGTTTAATTAAAATTTCGTAACAAAGGGCTAAATATATATAAATGTAAAAGATGACTTCATTTCGACTAGATTATGGAACTTAATTTTTCATTTTTAATGAAAAAACTATTAAAAATAGAAATACGAATTAAAACAGTAGTATTTGAAACTTATCAAAAAATATATTTTGTTAGCAAGCTAACAATATGCACTGGATTTGGAAACTGGCAAATTAATATGATTTCTGCAAGTGTAACAGTGAAAGGTTTCATTTCTAATGAGAATTTGAGAGCTTAGACGTCATATTCTTCATATTTACTGTGGTGGGTTAAATGTAAACTGACCACGAATACTTTAACTTAGGTAGCTCAACATAGAGCTATTATTGCGCACCCTTAATTACTCCATGCTTGTCGTCTCGTTCTCCTCTCGCAGACCTTTAAGCGGGTGCACTAAAGACATTAAAAACTTGAATCCGCTTACAAGATTTCCTTTGCCGCACCGGAAAGTGCATTTTCTTCAATTATTATGAAAAAATCTCGCATTTGCACCTTCAGTGAAATTCTATAGTAAAATTTTCAAAATCAATTTATGCATTTATTTGATACTGTAAACTATTTGCTAGAAAAAATTTAAATAGCCAATCAACTAACATTGATTTAAAGTTTCATTTACCTCACACTAGATTTTATGCACACTTTTACAGGTACTAGCAAAAATGTGGCAATACTGGGAATTAATTGAAAAGTTGGTATACATATAATGCTTATACTTGTTTTAGTACTGGAGAAATGAATGAAGTTTTTTTCTCAAATATAAATGCATTGCCATTTAATAAAGTATGGTTACCGACCATTCTCTAATTATTCCATAGAATATCTAAAATAAAATTTTATGTAAATAATAAAACGAAGTTCGATACATATTTCAATTTTAAGAATTCTTAAATATGATCACCGAAGTTAATTTTATTAGTGCAAACTATGAACATAACTTCTAGAATTTTATTGTTATTGGTCTATAGATGGGCGATAGACTTACCTCCACGTAGTGCACCCTGGAAAACGTATTTTCTTACGGCAAAAAAATCTATCACTCGGCATTTTGACTTCTATTTATTATGATTAGCTTTAAAAAAGGCTATAAGAAAAATCGCCTTCGTCAGGGCGAATCACAACGTCCTCAGATCCTCCAGTGGAATGCTGGAGAAATGTCTCCGGACAAAAAGATCCAAGTACAGAAAATCCTACAAACCTACGATGTTGACAATTTCACAATTACGGAAGCTAACATTTCGGGTGACAAACTGAAGTACTACCAATTCCTAGGTTACACACTGTACAATCTACCTAAATACCGGCAAGTTGCAAGTGGAATTCCAACTGGTGTTAAAGAAGGCCTCACCTCACACTACGACCTAATCAAGTGTATGGGCTCGACACATGACAGATGTGAAATAATCAGGTTAAATGTTTGGAAATGTCAAAACTACCTCAAGGTATATGCAGTCTCACATAAAACTATAGTATTAGGAGACTTCAACGCCCACTCCACCAGATGGGGCTACAAGGATACAAACATAGCTAAAAATGAAATTGAAGACATGCTAAACAGCAATCCTCTGGAACATTTTTACAGCAATGAGGATCTAGCTACATATTTGCACTACAACAGAACCAGAACAACTCCTGACTTGCTCGTAACTTCAAGTGACATCAGCGAACATACGCACAGCAAAATAATTGACGATCCTGGTTAAGCTCACAAACCAGTAATTGCTAGTATTACCATCGGCAGCAAAAGCATGTCAAGGAAAGTGCCAACTAAGATATCATAGAACTTCAAGAAGGCTGACTGGACTAGATTCACTAAACTTTTAGAGAATAAAATTCACACAAGTCCCCTCAACTTCAACCAACATCCTGATAATCTTTGCACTCCTTTCACGAATATTATGATCAGATGTGCAAAAAAAACTATTCCTGGGAAGACTAAACACTATCGAGTGTTTTGGTCTAAACACCCGAGTATTATGATCAGATGTGCAAAGAAAACTATTCCCCGAGGCTCATGATTAGATGTGCAAAGAAAACTATTCCCCGAGGCAAGATTACACACTATCGAGTGTTTTGGTCTAAACACCTTGAGGTAGCAAATATTATGATTAGATGTGCAAAGAAAACTATTCCCAGAGGCAAGACTAAACCAATATCTAGATAGTCTAAACACCTTGAGGAACTGAAAAGAAAGCGGGACGTTCTAGACACCTTGAGGAACTGAAAAGAAATCGGGACGCCCTTCGCGCACCTTGAGGAACTGAAAAGAAAGTGGGACGCCCTTCGCAACAAAGGCATCAGACCTGGAAGAACGGAAGACGTAAAAGCCTGGAGACGACAAGACGCCCTTCGCAAAACTGCTGATCAGACTGGAAGAACAAAGACGTAAAAGTCTGGAGACGACAATCAGCTGTCCTAAGGCAAGCCAAACCTGGAGACGACAATCAGCTGTCCTAAGGCAAGCCATCTTAGAAGCAAAACGGACGTCCTTCGACAAGTTCATCTCAAATATCAACTAAACCGGACTTCCTTCAACAAGTTCATTTCAAATATCAGCTATTACGGACTTCCTTCGACAACTTCATCTCAAATATCAACTATGAAACTTACTTCGACAAGTTCATCTCGAATATCAACTATCAAAGCGTTCGACAAGTTCATCTCAAATATCAAGTATCAAAGTGATATGTTCATCTCAAATATCAACTATCAAAGTGATAGCCAACGCCCAATTCCTGGGTAACCTCCAAAACAACAGAGAAAGACCCACGATGTACTGAGAATCCTGCAAAACAACCGAGAAAGACCCAAGAAAGAACCAATACGCTTTAAAACACACAAAAAAGAACCAATACGCTTAAACAGCAAATTGCTTACCTAACGAAATAGCTAACTGCTTTGCGAGGTTCTATTCCCATAACAAATACGTTTAAAAAACAAACTGCTTACCACCGACTCCGAATTTAAACAGCAAATTGCTTACCACCGACACCGAAATAGCTAACGAAAAACAAATTGCTTACCACCGACACCGAAATAGCTAACTACTTTGCAAGGTTCTATTCCCATAAGCAAAAGAAAAACCCTCTTGTAAGAAAATCTTCAAGAGATTTAAAGATAAAAGTAAGGCAGTTTGATGAAATTAAGGACGACTAAACAACACCAAAAAATGCACTTGCTGGACCAACAGCCAAGGAAATCAAGCTGGCTCTTTTTAACAAATTCTATTAGACTAGTCTCGTACCTAACCAATGTAAAGTTCTCATAGTAATACCAAAACTAAAAGAGGGCAAAGACTCTAGCAACTTTGACAACTATAGGCCTTTCTCACTCACAAGCGTGCTGGATAAACTTATGGAAAAAATGGTTAAAAGGAAGCTCTCCTGGTTCCTTGAGACCAACAAAATTCTTAGGAGTGAACAAGAAGGTTTTAGGCCGCAAGGATCAACGAACCAACAAGTAGACACTTTTACCCAACACAAAAAAGGGCCTTGATGCAAAAATGCCCTTACGGCTGTTTTTGTCGATTTCAAAACAGCATATGACTTAGTATGGAAAGAGAAGCTAATTCTAAAATTGGCAAAGATTGGTATTAAGCATAACATGCTAAACAAGATAAAAGCATTCATTGGACAAAGATCGTGTAAAGTCAGATATGGAAATGCCCTATCAAAATCCAATCTTTTGCAAACAGGCCTTCCACAGGGAGCTGTCACAGGCTGCACTCTTTTCAATGTCTTCATCAATGACATGGCCGAATTGGTACAGACAATCACGGGCATCAAGTGCTTACGTTTTGCAGATGATCTTGTTCTATGGTATTCCACCCCTAAGAAAAACGCTCAGAAGAGGACAGAAAGTGCTCTTAATAGCGCACTTAAACTACTAGCAAACTGGTGCGACAACAATGGATTGGTAATTAACACCGCAAAAATTGCATCCCAAACATTTTGTTTGGCCCGCTTTTAGGGTACAAGGATACTACCCTAGAAAAAACCAATGAGTTCACTTATCTCGGAATGACGTTTGACACTAAGCTAACGTGGAAAATTCACATTGCTAAAATAATACAACGCGTCTCCAATAGATGGAATGTCCTCAAGCGTCTTAATGGTAGCGTATGAGGCTGTGCGGTCTCAACTTTAAGCACCACTTACACGATGTTTATTCAGCCAATAATGTTGTATTGCTGTGAGCCACTCATTACAGCCACAGTGGTGACTCTCAAACCCCTCGAAAAGGCACACAACCAAGCATAACGACTAATTACTGGCGGGATAAAATCAACACCCATTGATGCAATGCTCCTAGTTATAGGAAGCACCACAATAGGTTCCCTTATCAAAGAAAAGGCCTTGATCCTGTATGAGAAGCTACTGCGCATTCCCATGGACAAGTTCTTCAGCATTTATGAGAATAGACCAAGACATCTGAAAACGCAATCTGGTCTAATACAGAAAGCTATAGAACTGAAGAAAGCGTTACAAATCGATGATCAACCAAAAAGCCTCTCTCTCCCCATGAACCCATTAGCAGACATTGATGTAGTGTGTCGCACCCAACTACTCGACTTCTTCAGGAAATCAAACACTCCTCCAGAGCAAATGCGCTCACTGGCCCTTGAGACAATCAATGTCAACTATCCTGGAGATCAATGGCTCCAAGTCTTCACTGATGGGTCATACATAGAAAGCCAAGCAAACGTTAGAGGAAGTGTCTATTCTGAACTATTCTCTTTCTTCGCGGAAGCGGGACATAATAGATCCGCAATTGAAGGAGAAATAGAGACTATTAGGATAGCTCTTTGCAAATTATGTTGCCTGGATACGAAATTCACCAAAGCGGTGATACTTTCGGACTCACAGTCAGCAATAAACTCTATCGGAAACAGAGAGACACCCAAAACAGCTGAGATAAAGGAATGTAGAAAACTCTAGGAGCTGCTGAGAGAGAAAAACAAAACAGTGGTCCTACAATGGATTCCTGGTCACTGTGGAATTAAAGGCAATGAGCTTGCTGACACACTTGCTAAGAAGGGGACAACGACTTTGCA